GCGTTTCTCGCGGTTAGTATAATGGTTGCTAGGCAACCTGAACAGCGCGACGAAGGCTAGACCGTCCCATTTCACAAGCCTCTCACTTCCGCACTTCTCGTACTTATAGTACGCACCGTACGTAGTACGCGTAGTGCGCGTACTTCAAGCGTGCAGACCCTGAAATGGGACACAGCCGAAGTTCTCCAGAGGCCTGGTAACGAACTAATCATGTGATTCAGGTGTGTTGACCCAAGGTGAGATCTAAAACCTGCAGGGACACCGGCCCTCGTGGACTGAGATTGTCCACCCCTGTTCTAAAGTGTTCCCATACATGGGTTGGACCTCTCCTCTGTGGCAGTGTTAATTGGGGAGCAATGTCTCTGATCAGGAGATGTACTCATCTGTTTTTACCAATTAACCTACTTAAATCAAAGCCCAACATCATTGCTTGAATTAGGATTATCCACAGTTTTATTGCATAAATTAGCTAAGGTCAGTTCACTAGTCAAAGACTGAGCTGCCCTGCCTCTGATCCACCTGTGTTTACTTGAGTCTGACACTTTCATAAGATGATCATTTACAACAGAATCATTTCATCATCAGTGATTAAATGAGGAAAAATGAAAAAGGACTGTGTCTCTTTAACTCCTAAGAGTCTTTCTAATGAGTCCCCCTTCTTTTAACATCACTGGGGAATGAAGCTTAAAGGCCAGACTGGAAACAAACACTGTAGTCTAATTAATCTCTCTGTAGTTCATTAGAAGTGGCAGGGGATATGGGAATGCAAGTATTTCAAAGAGACAGACTTGGAAACATCAACACTGTTTAATAAACCCTCGACATTTGAAGGTAATAATTACAGCATCCCGTAATAACAGAGTACGAATGATAAACAATACAAAATATAAACAATAGAAATTGTAGTTCGGCACCAATCCTTTACTTATTGTGAGTTTCACATTAGATTTTAGGAAAATTTTAGCATTTTTTTTTATTTTTCCTGTTGTCAAATGCACCTTAATCCTCACCAAACATTTGTGAATTGTCAGTATAAATGATCATCATTATCATTTTTGTGATTATAGAATTTATTTTACTGTCACAATGGGGTTCTCAAATCCCATTAGTCACACCTTATATTTGTATTTATGTAATTGAAAACTAACTGTTGGTTCACAGCAAGAAGGTCATGAGTTCGACTCTACTTCTGGCCTTTCTGTGTAGAGTTAGTTTTTTTCTCTCTTGGTTGCGCGAGTTTTCTCCAGGTCCTCTAGCTTCCTCCCACAGTTCAAACACATGATTAGGTTAATTGATCATTTTAAATTGCCCATAGGTGTGAATGTTTGTCTCTCTGTGTTAGCCCTCCATCAGACTGATGATCTGTCCAGGTTGCACCCTACCTCTCACCCTATAGTACCTGGGATAGGCTCCAGCTTCCCCACAACCCTGAGAAGGATAAAAGGACGAGAATGGATGGATGGAAAACTAAGTACATATTTATTTCATTGGAATTAAGATGATAAGTAGCAGCAAGGAGCTGCTAATCATAGAAGGGTAGGCATTCGGAATCCTCTTTTTTCAAAAAGGCACAAACCATAACACTTCTGGAATGTCCTTTGGACAGATGAGGCCAAACAGATGTTTGGCTACAGCACAACATTTGAAAAATCTCAAATACAACATATCAGCACAAACACCTGTTACGACCCTCCCACACTCATTAAAGCCATGGTCTGCTGTTTGGCCACCATGGCAGCTTTGCTGGCACTGGGTCATGATCTCAGCACAGCAGCAAGTCTGCAACAGGATGGCTGAAAAAGAAAAGAATAAAACTGTTGCAATGGTCTGGTCAAAGTCCAGACCTCAGCCTGAAATACTTGACCTTAAGAGCTCAGGATAATTGGATGCTCCCAAACTCCAATGAACTGAAAGAACTGTGCAGCACAATTCTTCCACAACAAGAGACTGACAAAGTCAAACAGAAAACAACCACTTCAGCTTATTGCTTCCAAAGGTGGCTCTACAAGCTCTTGAATCATGGGGTGTACTTTGTTTTTCTGCTGCTTTCACTGCTTCTGCATTTTGGCTTAATTTTTGTAACCCATCATTAATGTAAGTTGCTGTTAGTATTTGCCTAATTTTAAGAACTGCTAAGGATCAGGTGATATTTTTAATCTAGTGACAGGTAAAACCTAGAATTGAAAGATAGTTTGCTTTCTTTTTCACATGACTGTAATTAATCTCAGTTATATGTATAATTCTCAAACTTGTAGGGAAATTGGTTTAAAATTGAGGCCCGAGCACACTGAGAAATATAATATTATGTCATTTTTATTTTTGCATAACTAATACAAACACAGTAATTTTGCCCAAACATAAACGTCTGTATGAAATGACAAAATGGCTAAACCTGATAAAACTAACAATGAATGCAGATCCATTGAGACAGAGTTTCTCGTGGACTAGGATTTCTGCACCCACGAGAAACTCTGTCTCAAGACAAAAATGATCCTCTCCAGCTTCCTCCACTCCTGGGAGCCCCACTAATGAGTCCTTATTTGTGATGTCATTTCCAGAGGATGCTGGCTAATGACCTTGCCTGTAACAAACAAAGCTTTTACTGTTCAAGCTTAGGCCTAATTAATCTCATCTGCATCCATTAGAAGGTTTTGCTCTCATGTAATTAAAGCTGCAGTGTAATGGGAAAGGATGTAGAGTGATATTAATGACTCATTAGTGTTCTTGAAAAGCTCAAGTAAACCTCTAATTGTCTAATACTCATCTCGTCTTTTAAGAGCTGTAGAAGATAAGCCTGTAATCTCAGTTGCTGCACACAATGACCCGCTTTCTCAAGTCACACTTTTTATAATGTCTTTATAATGTCTGTGAAAAATAATAGGTGCAAAAGATTACATTGTGCTCACACTTACCTGCTGTGGTGGCAATTGGCATAAATCATGTGCTGCAGACAGAATTTACAAGAAAGTGATAACTTTGCTAGAAATTTGAGTTTTGTTTTTGTTTTTCATAATTTGAGGGCAGATCAGAAAATTCACAATTTTATAATCACTCATAAAATGTTATATGCTATCAGGAAATGTACCACCCAATCCTGGAGTACAGTAATGTACAGAACTCTGTCCAGTTCTGTAACAAACTAAGTACACCTGATGAGTCAGTAACTTCAATATAACCACGTTTAGAAGCAATAACTTAAAGTAATCATTTTTTGTATGATTTTATCAGTTCATGGTCAACTCCTCTGTGTACCCAGAGACATCAGGTTGCCTGTGGCTGCAAAACAAGACCAAATCATTCACCAAATCTTCACCACCGTGCTGATAGTTAGTATGAGGTTGTTTGTGCTAATATGCTGTGGGTTTTTTTTTTGTTTGTTTGGGTTTTTTTTGCTGAGATGTTCACTCCTTGGAAGTTTGTGGGTTGTGTTAACACACAGACCAGGCCGATGTCTGCTTTTATAGAGGTGCTCGCACTTCCTGACGACCAGTTTTTCAAGTCTATTTTAGCAGCTCCTGACTGCTATACCTGCTCTCTTGATTACTTATATGTGATTTGTTTTCCCCTTACCTGCACATGCACAGTCATGTGAATACTTTTATAAGTAATTTTGAAATGTCCTTGAGACCACCCCCAAATATTAATACATTATTAATAATATAAAAATATATGATTAAATTTTTTTTCTAATTATACTGTCATCAGCTTTAAGATTGACATGTTACCTGAGGCCTGTAGAGTCTGCAGTATTGCTCTTTTTTTTTTTTCTTTTTCTTTGAACTCAAGTTGCTGGAACATCCACTCCTGGGAGGACTGGTAGCTGTGTTGGATGTTTTCTACTTGAATAATATCTGTCATTTCAAATGACTCTAAATTGTTTGGAAATGTCCTTATAACCCTTTTCACTTGCTTATCTAGGATCATTGTTGGTTACTGCTCCTCCTTGGTATGATGAACATACCTGAACATTCTTACAAGAATGCTTTTACAAGCATGTCAACCAACAGGCTATAAACTGTTAGGCTTAAAACTTTCCATTTTGACAACACATATAGTTAGGGCTGGCTCAAGTGACCCTGAACCCTCCCTTAGTTATGCTGCAATAGGTCAAGGCTGCTGAGGGCTTCCCATGAGTGTTTCTTATTCACTTGCCATTTTCCCTTGGGGTCTTCCGTGTCTTTGAGACATATATCAACAATATACATTATCTCTCCAGCATTTGTCTTTTTTGTTACACTAATTGGCAACATCATAGCAAACAGGATAACCCCTTTTGTGTTCTCTATCTCCTCCTAGACAAGGGCACTGATCTTGACTTTGCATAAACATTGGCAACAATTGTACATATCTGTACAGCTGACATTTCAACTAAACGCTGAATGGAATTTCACTTAGAAATTAATTAATGTATCAGTAACATTAATCAATGTATCATTAATTATGCATTTTAATTTGAATTAGAATGGTGTGTCATAATATAATATATTAGCATTTCTACCCTGACCCTGAAAACAGACCCCTTTTTTTTGCATTATCACTAATTATTAGTATTAATATTTATTAGTGATAGAAACCAATGACGTGCACGTTCTCGCTGCTCAGCGGAACCAAAGTCACCAGCGACGGAAGTACTTTACGGATACACTTTCGTCCGTCACTGAAATGTTACCCCTGCAGCGTCCGTGCAGGTTGGTTGTAAAAAGCCTGAAGTTATGAAGATTAGGACAAAAGTGCCTCGATAGAGACATTCGCCGAGAGACAATTAATAGGTAGGAACAAGGGGTAGTTTCTTTATCCTCACAGGTGTTTAACAGGTGTCGTCCAGGAACACGAAACGACGGCACGGCTGTGTTGTAACATCAGTGTAGCTAAACGTCCAGGGTAGCCTGACACTGACGAGTGTCAACGTTGCTTAACTAATTTAAAGTTGGAAGAGTTCAGTGTTATAATCAAAGTTTTGTGTTTTGTATTTACTCGTGTTATCTTTCTTTCAAAGTTTGTTTGATGATCTGAAACTTGTGACAAGATGCAAAAATACTTTTTCTCAGCACTGTAAATATTGAATTGATATTTCACAACTCGGGTCGAAACACTGAATTCTGAAACAAAAAAGCATTTGTATAGGTTACAAAGGAGCTTTAGAAAGAGCGGATGTATAAAAGTAACCACAATAGTTCATAAAAATGACAAAAACTAACAATAAAACTATATTATTAGATAAAACTCCTAAGATACAGATCTCTGTTTACTGTCTTCAGCAGATCTCTCACAGTACAGATTTTAAGATGCCTACAGGCCTGAGCAGCAGCTCTTTTGTGTTCTCATTATTAATAACAGTCTGTGTTCTTGTCAGCAGTGTCACTGAGTCAGGACGTTGTATTCACACAGGATGGCGTCACCTCATGACCGCAGTCGGAAAGATGACGAGGATGACCCTGTTGAACAGATGATATCGCGCACTGGCTGCGCTGAGCTTCACCACGCCATCCAGGAATGCATGGCTGAACATCAGGACTGGCGAGCATGTCAAAACCAAGTTCAGACGTTCAAAGACTGCATGATGAATTTCCAAAAGGCCCGAAAAGAACAGCTGAGGCAGCAGCAGCTGCCCTCCACCAAGTCTGCGGCCAGCTGAATACAGAACATCTTGCAAATACATACAGTGCTGTGTTTGGGACTTGACTGACGACCTTAAATTGCAAAGACTGTACCTAATTTAATCATTAGAATTGAAAATAAAGCTCTAGCAGTATCATAAAATCCCTACTTACAGTCTCAAGTGTGTGATTAAGAGCCTGACTGATAATTGGGATTTAACAGGCAATATGAAATATCACTTAACTTCAGTTAGCTTGTGTTTAAGTGTGTATGTATGTAAAGAAATGCCATACTATGTGATTTGTGAATCAAAGTGCATTTGAAAGTTATCTTTTCAGGTAAAACGCTTTATTTTTGGTCCGTAATGTATTTTCTTTAAATAAAAATGAAAAGATTGTTTTTTTAGGGGAAAATCTGAAACTTTGGGATTTTTCATGACTTCAAGCCAAAGCAATAAAACACCCCTGGAATCTTTGGTGTTTAGCTTTAGGTAGATACAAAACTGTGCAAGCCACAGATACGAATAATGGTCTGTAAACTCTTTGAAATGAAAATATTTCCTCTATGAAATCACTGTCTAAGCATAACTAGCAAAACATTAATTCAAGCCATGGGTGTAAACCAGGCAGAGAAATTTGCCTGTTACAAATGTGTACAGCATGATCCACAAGCACAAACTAAGATTTACAAATGTGTGCAGTAATTTGTGTGTAACTTTTGAGGATTCACAAATGCGTGCTGCAATTCATCACACAAATACAAAGCAATTTGAACACATAAAACTATTTTACAAATGCGTGCATCAAAGCCTGTAAGAAAAAAGGATCATTTTTCACAATTTATTGATTTCGGCTTCACGAGTCTGTCAAAAACACTTCTGTGCATGTCCTACATGCAATGTGAGTTTTGAGACAAATTTCACACAAATCGTAAATATGTGATCAACTGTGTACAGATCTGTGCACGAATCCAAAAATGTAAGCTGTATTCGTACAGTCCCTATCAAAAGTTTAAGACCGCTTAAAAAATACAGCTGATCAAAAGTTTAGGAACGCGTGCCTTTAAAATGCCAAGTCTGTGCAAAAATGTGGATTCATTGTCATTTTCTGTCAGGTAGTCACACTGTCATGATGTTCTGATGGCAAAGGCAAAAAAAAATGTTCCCTTTTTGAACTTGGTCGGGTTGTTGAAATGCATAAGTAGGGTATCTTGCAGCGTGCCATCACTATTGAGGGGGGATGCAGTAAGACAGTCATTTGGAACTTCTTAAATGATCGTAAGGGGTATGGAACAAAAAAGTCAAGTGGAAGAACCAAAAATTTCACCAGTACTGAGCCAGAGAATCGAATTGGCTGTTCGTCAAGACACTGGACGATCCTTGACCCAAATTAAGGCCGTTACCTGTGCCAACTGCACCCCAATAACTATCAGATGGCATCTGAGACTGAAGGGCTTCAAAAACAAAAAAACATCTTGCAAAGGCCTCGTCTCTTTGAACGCCACAGAACTGACTGTTTGGACTTTGTAAGAGAGCACCAAACATGGGACATTGAAAAGTGGAAGAAAGTTTTATTTCACCTTGATGGTCCTGATGGTTTCCAGCGTTACTGCCATGACAAGCAGGTCCCACCTGAGATGTTTTCTACGCATCACAGTGGAGGGGGGGGCATAATGGTCTGGGGTGCTTTTTCCTTCAGTCAAAAAGTAAAGCTTCAGGAAGTGCAGGGGCGTCAAACGGCTGCTGGCTATGTCCAGATGTTGCAGAGAGAATCTCTCATGACTGAGGGCCCTCATCTGTGTGGTAACGACTGGACTTTTCAACAGGACATTGTACAATACACAATGCCCGCAGAACAAGGGACTTCTTCCAGGAGAATAACATCACTCATTTGGACCATCCTGCTTGTTCCCCTATTCTAAATTCAATTCAGAACCTTTGAGGATGGATGGCAAGGGAAGTTTACTAAAATGAACAGCAGTTCCAGACAGCACATGCCCTTCGTGTCGTCTTCACCACTCGGAGAAATGTTCCCACTCACCTGCTCACCTCATGGAAATGCTTGCAACAAGCACACCACAACTCATTTTTGAAGTGATCAGCTACTGTGGAGCTACTTATTGCTGAGTTCACGTTTGGAACTTTGATTTCTGTTTTTAGTTTTGTTATGTTGTTTTATTTTTTTTCTTGTTGTTTTTTTGTTTTGTTTTGGGGGGGGGTCCCTTTGGACGTGTGGTCGTAAAATTTTGATCAGCCTGTTTCGATTTAAGCGTTGTTTTCAATAAATTGCATGCTCAAATAAATGTTTCGTCTCACTCACATTTCTTCTTGTTGCATGTTGAAGCTCTACTTGGAACCTTGTTAAGATCCAACCATGCAAAATATGATATATATCTTTTTTCAATTTTTCAAGTAGTCTTAAAGTTTTGATAGCGACTATATCTGGGCTTCCTCTGTATTCTCTTCATGGAGTTCTCTCTGTAGCTTCCAGCAAAATCCAGCTGCATCCGAAAAGAAGAGGTTGAACTACAAATGTGCTAAAAGCTTTAATGGGCCAGTAGAACTGTTGTTGGAAAAAAAAAGTGTAGGAAAAGCCACAGTCGGACACAGCTTTTTAAATGAGTCCTGTGAGATGCTTCAACTTAGAAAACATTAAAACATTAATTGGAATTAGTTTATTTTAAGGACAGGAAAAGTCTGATGATCAAAGTAAGCAACAATTCTGCTCTCTATGGATCCAATTACTGCAAATAATTGGATATTGTTTAATGTTTTTCTCATTATATTGTAAGCATCACCTCATGAGATCAGTATAGGTAAACTGTATATATTTTGCTGTAAAGAGGTCAAACATGCAGCCACATGCTTGCAGCCTGTGCTGTCCAATCCTTTCAGAAAACATCAGGTGAGCTGCATTCACTCCTTTAACACAAGCATGACTTCAAATGTGCTCATTAAACTGCCATGTGAATTGTACCTGTATTGTAATGCCTCTGTAACAATATGATTTTCTGTTCCTTAGACTAAT